TCTTAGTTGCAGCCTGCAGGATCTTTGAACTCTTGGTTGCAGCCTGTGGGATCTATTTCTCTGACCAGGGATCGAACCCAGGTCCCCTGCACTGGAAGCTTAGAGTCTTAACTACTGGACCACCAGGGAAGTCCTGTGAGGGAATTATTTTGATCCTGATAGTGGTGGTGCTTCCACAAGTCTGTACATGTTCAAACTCATAGAACCCATGCACAGAAATTTTATTGTATGTTAAAAAATATTGATAAAAACCCACAAATAAACCAGACATACTGAGCCACTGGCATCCATAATTTTAAACACTATGCTTTGACTTGGGTAAATGTTATAAATTTGAAATTAAAAAAAAATCAAGGAACATTCTATTTAAAGGACTCCCATGGGGAATCATGCCTCACAGCACGTTAATATAGTTTGTGTCTGTCTGGACTTTGAGTCCTGGCTCTTGAGTTCTGCGAGGTAGCTGTATGGGGTTCATCAAGTCACCTGTTACTTAAACAGTGAAGCAGGAGCAGGGGTTTGGAGGGCATCTGTAATTGTTGCTAGGCTGTGCTGGAATCCTCTTCAACCTTGAGATTCTGCTTTAGTGGGTCTGGGGTGGTGGTTCTGATCAGTTGCCACTTTAGGCAACATCCAGAGAAAGTGATCTCAAAGGTCTCTTTCAACTCTACAACTGTTACTTATATCATATACTGGGTTTGCTTGGAATTAAGGTCTATCTGTGCCACCTTCCCTGTGAATTGGGAGTTGCCCCCACTCGGAATCTAGGCTAAGTTCAGCGGTGGTTTTCTTAGACTCTAGCTTTGTTTTCTTTTTTCTTTCCTTTTTAAAGATACGACTTTTAAAATAATTTTATAGGGCTTCCCAGATAGCGCTAGTGTAAAGAAACTGCCTGCCAATGTAGGAGACGAAAGAGATGCAGGTTTGATCCCTGGGTTGGGAAGATGCCCTGGAAGAGGGCGTGGTAACCCACTCCAGTATTCTTTTTTTTTTTTTTTTCACTCCAGTATTCTTGCCTGGAGAATCCCATGGATGGAGGAGCCTGGCAGGCTACAGTCCATGGGGTTGCAAAGAGTGAGACACAACTGAAGTGACTTAGCACACATTTATTTATTTTTGGCTGTGTTGTGTCTTAGTCGCTGTGAAGGCCTTTTTTCTCTAGATGGGGTGATCAGGGGCTACTCTCCAATTGCAGTGTGCAGGCTTCACATCCCAGTGGCTTCTCTTGTTGTGGAACATGGGCTTTAGGACGCTTGGGCTTCAGTAGTTGCCGTTTCTGGGCTCTAGAGTGCAGGCTCAGTAGGTGTGGTGCGTGGGTTTAGTTGATCTGAAGCACGTGGGATCTTCCAGGACTAGGGATCGAACATGTGTCCTGCATTTTCAGGTGGGTTCTCTACCACTGAGCCACCAGGGAAGCCCTAGCTCTGTTTTCTTTCATTAAACCATTTCCCACATCAGTGTCACTTTGACCTTTCCCCCGGTATTTCTGCTCCTTCTTTTAGAGACCCAACCCCACTCCATGGCCCTTTCTCACACCCGTTTCTCTTCCATCCCCCAGCTTCCCGTGTCCAGATGTCCTAGCCTCAAGACCTTCAGACACTTGGTTGGTCTCCAGCTAGAGAACACTGACATCCCGGGGATAATTGTTCAGACCCTGCACACTATCCAGGTGGCAGGTAACAGAGCAGATGTGGAGAATGGGCTGGATGCTGGGAGAAATCAGTGATTTAGTGGTGTCTGACTCTTTGCGACCCCCTGGACTGTAGCCCACCAGGCTCCTCTGTCCATGGGATTCTCCAGGCAAGATTACTGGAGTGAGTTGCCATTTCCTTCTCCAAGGGATCTTCCTGACCCAGAGATTGAACCTGGGTCTCCTGCACTGCAGACAGATTTTGTACTGTCTGAGCCACCAGATGGTGGACCGGTGCAGGACAGGCGTAGGGTCACAGGGGCAAAATCAGGCGTCTGTCTCATGCACTGAGTCAAACATGTTCTCTGTACTCATGCACCCCACTCGCATAATTCTGAGCTATGAATCCGTGTCCCCACTGCCAACAGGCCCATTTTACAAAGCAGGACACCGATTCTAAGAGGTGAAGACTCTTCCCCTGGGCTTGCTCCTGCCGGTCTGTACTCCTAATTTCACCCCTCTCTCTAATTCATAGTCTCCCACCAAGTCTCAGTCTCTCCCACCCTGTCATTTTCTTGGGTGGGGGAAATCGTCCAAGTGAGTCTGGCCACGTCCTCTGGACACCTGGCAGGTCGAGGCTGGGTCATGGCGACTGATCCATTTCAAAGAGCTGACCCGGAAATGAAACATCAGCATTCCTCCTGAGTGCTTTCCTGCTCCCTGACCCTCACCCACCATGGCAGACAGGTCAGGAAAGTGCCAGCAGGCTGGTTTTAGGGCATTTCATTCAATTTTGCTAGTGCTTAGTTTCCCACCATGTATCTTAGCTGAAGAATACCATCACAGGCCTTGCAAATATAAGCTGGGTTTGCAGGGTGGTCATCACCCAGGAGCTGGGAGCAGGGGTGAAAATTGATTTATTCATGCGTCTGAAGCCAGGACCCAAGCAGCAATGCTTGTGAAACCCTGGATGACTCACCTGGATTGAAACCAGGGCAACACTTGGCCTGCTCCAGCCCCCACTCAGAACTGTGCCCAGGAGCGTGGGCCCTGGAGCTGGAATCCAGGTTGAGAGGTTAGGCTTGAGCTGCAGCCTGAGACATTGGAGTGAGAAGGGACACCCACAGCTGTGGTCCAGGGAAGGGAGGTCTTGCCCAAGGCCACATGGCTGAGCTGGTGGCAGAGCTGAGCCAAGGAGCCTGGGGGAGCCTCCTCCCATCCTCTTTCACCTGCTGCCTCTGGAGATTGATGACAATTCTTCCACTCCCAGAGGAAGAAAGGGGTGACCTGGATAGGGCACAAGTTACACTGGAAGTTGAGGACTGGGGATGCTTTGAGCTCCAACAATTCAGCATCCCAGGTGGAGATGAATTCTCTCCTGTTTGACTTCTGGGATTTCTGGATTCTTTTCATCACTGGTTGGCTCCTTTGACCCTGGAAGTGCATCAAAAGTGGCTGGGTGACTAAGACTTAGTACCCAATCTGGACAGACATCAGTACTTGGTTGCTGACGAGCTCACCTTCATCTGCCCGTTGTGTGTCTGGATAAATCCACTTGAATCTGTTTGCCCGTCAAGGACACGGGAAAATCTCCTTCCCAGAGAGGACCCGGTGCTGTTTTTGCCTTTGACTTATCAACTGACAAGGGCAGCAGATGTTTATAAAACAGAAACCACCCTTAGACTCTCACAGGCACTCTCCATCACTGCTGAGTTCCTGGGAGGGACAGGGTGACCCATTTGCTGAGCCAGGTCAAGCAGGAGCGAATGTCTTGAGAAATTAGAGCTCCTCAAGCTGGTCCCGAGCTGCTCAGGTTCCAGGCTAGTTTTCTTCCCTGGGCTCAAGTTCTCAACAACTGGAGCTGGAGGTTTTGAAGAACGCTGCTGCCTTGAGTTCCTCCCGTTTGAAGACCGGAGTGGGGTCCTTCCTGCTCTGTACCCCAAGTGTTCCTGCCTACAGTCTAGGCAAGAAATGCCCAAGCGACAAGGGGCAGAAAACTTGTCAGACACCTACATGTGTGCCCTGCCACCCCCTCAAAAGTGAGGAAGCCTGCAGGACAGTTGCCGTCAGTCTCACCCCCAACCCAGCCTGGCCACATGCACTGCTGCTTTTCATGAAGCACTGACAGCCCCACTGTGGGACCATTGCAGTGCTGGGCTTGAACGAGTTAAGGCCACGCATGGAGATAGAGGGAGGTAAGGAGACTAGAGAAGGAAATGGCAACCCACTCCAGTATTCTTGCCTGGAAAACAGTTCATGGGGTCGCAAAGAGTTGGACACGACTCAGCGACTAAACACAAGGTGACTAGGAGACAGGAGGGTTGAAACTGAACATGGAAGAGATCAACAAAGCCAGACACAACACCATAAATCAACTATACTTCAATAAAATACATTAAAAGGAAAAAAAAGGAAAGCCAGACGCCTACGTGGTCTTTTTTCCATTCTCCTTTATTTCATAAACACCTAGTTACAAGTTGCACAAATCAAAAAATAAAGGCAGAGAGGGTGTGGGGAAGACCTTTGTGATGTGAAGCGGGTAGGAAGGGAAAAAGGGCTGGGGACAGGTCCTTTCCCTCCACACACAGCTCTGGATGAGGGCTGTGGCCCCCTACAGTAGGGGATCTGAGGAGGAGGTGGGCAGAGAGCCAGGGTCACTGGGGCCCCTAAACCCAGAGCTTACCCTCAAAGCCCCTTCAATGCATGGCAGGAGCAGAACGAGGAAAGGAAGGAGATTCAGAGACGGAGTAGCAAAGTGAAAAATCAAGTCATTGTGGTAAAGAGGTTAAAGAAGGAAAGGAAAAAGGGCAGTGAAAGGTTCTCCCTGAGACCCCCAGGGAGGGGCTGGGGCCAGCTTGCCTGTTAATTTAATATTAAATTGGGAGTGGGTGTTGAAGAGGAAAAGTTATCTCAGGGGATGACATCTCAGCCTCTCAGCTTGTACCTGGGGTGGGAAACAGAAACACACAAATTAAAAGGAAGACAAGATACAGAAGCCAGGAGTTCTGTCTTTCCGTACCAATTAGAACTTCTACTTGGGGGCTTCCCTGGTGGTCCAGTGGCTAGGACTCTGTGCTCCCAATGCAGGGGACCTGGATTTGATCCCTGGTCAGGGAATTAGATCCCACATGCTACAACTAAAACTTGGTAAGAGCCAAAATTTAAAAAAAATTTTTTTTAAATAAATACAAAAAAATAAAAATAAAAAACCAACCTATTCTACCAACCAAGGTGGTGGTTGCTGGGTACCTAGGCTTCTTCTGCCACAAGGTTGAGTGATGCTCACATACTACATGCTTCACCCCGTCCTGTCCCTGCCCGCCCCGTGGTACTTACAAGAGATACAAGAGAGGCCGAGGGCCCAGGGCCCTCACCAGTCGTAGCGGCGGGACTGTCGGGATGGGGAGTCCTCGGGTCCCTGTATAGCCAGGCGGGGAGGCCCCTCAGCCCTTCGTCCTCCGCCCCCGGAAGCCTCATGCCTCCGAAATTCCAAAGGGCGCTGCTGCCGGAATCGGGAGGTCTCCCTCCGCCACTCGTCATCAAACGCTGCGGCCTCACCTGAAGAGGACAGAGGAGACCACACGGGGCACCTGAATACCACCCCACTTCCCAGGCAGACCCGCACCCGATGCAGGGTTGAGCCACAGGCTCTGAGACCAACACCCAGAGAGAAGGCTGAAAGGCCTGGGGGCAGGGAGCGGGTGGGGAGGTAAGAGGCGAAGTTGGATTCACCATGGTCTCCCGAGGCCAGGAGCAGGAAATCAGGAATGGATACTTAGTTAAGGAGCATAGTCCCATACATACCGTAAGTATTTAATAAATGTTGACTGATTTGAAAGAAATAAAGACGAGAAAGGAAGGCACTGACGGAATAGGGTAGATTACTATCAATATGTGACTTAGGTGACAGAGTTTGCCCTCCCCGGTGAGGCCATCTCCTGCACTGACTTAGCCCTAAGCTGACAAAGAGGCTCCAAGAAAGTGAAGAACATGGAGCTCATCCATAATGTTGCCCAAGAAACAGGTACAGAGCTAGGGAGCATGCGTGAGGGCTCAGTCCTGACTTGACTCTTTGCGACCCCATGGACTCTAGCCCACCAGGCTCCTCTGTCCATGAGATTTCCCAGGCAAGAATACTGGAGTGGGTTGCCATTTCCTTCTCCAGGGGATCTTCTCGACCTAGGGATCGAAGCAGGGAGAAAAAGCTGCCATTTCTCAGCTCACGAGACGGGGGCTGGTGGCAGGAAGCTGGCAGGCTGGAGCTGGAAGGGGGCTTACTCTCGTCCAGGTTGATGTAGTCCTGCCGCTCCTCCTGGTCCCCCGTGCGGTGGTTTCGGGAGCGCTGGAGGATGTGAGCCCTGTCCCGGATGTGATGCCCGATGGACATCTGCTCCAGCCCACTGTCGGAGTCGCGCACGGTCCGCCGGGTCTCCCGGATCTGGGGGAGGTGGAGCGCCACATGCTCACTGGATCCTTCCAAACCTGGCTATGCCAGCCCGGAAACACCACCCGGGACCCCCTCTTGAAAAGAGCCAGCCAGTCCACCCGACCGTGCCTCCCTGGGATAGGAGGAGCCCTCCAACTCACCCCGCCTGGGGCCGAGCGCATCTCTGACGTCTCTTGGTAGACCTTGGGGGCCCCGTCACCGGTGTTGGAGTAGGAGATGACGGTGGAGGAAGAGAAGGTCTGGCAATTGCCTCCGGCTGTCATGTGCTCCTGGGGAGGGAAGGGAATGGCAAGGCTGAGTGAGCAGGGGCTGGCTTCTGGAGCAGGGATCCCTCCCTGCAGCTCCGGAGCAAATGTGAGGACTCACCATCACCACCCCCACCCGACCCAATCCCTCTGAGTCCAACAATAAGCCAGGTGGACCTGGAAAGACCGAGCTTTAACTGCCCATTTCATGAGATGCCGGCCGCTGCTTTCCACTCAGAACCCCTGCGCTCTCCGGGTCTGGCCATCTTATCCAGCTTGCATGCCTCCGTGAACACAGCCTTCCCCACTCCCACCTCCCACCACCAGGGCCTCACCAGGGGAGGCGGACACAAGACCCTTACCATGTTGCCGATCATGTCGTTCATCATCCCAAACATGTCCATGAAGCCGCCTGACTGGAGCAGAAAGGAAACCGAGTCAGATTGCTGAATTCAGGCTTCCACAGGTCACCTGGCTACACGTTCCCTCTCTCCCCTTCCTTCACATCTGCCAGCGGCTCCTCCTCATTCCTCATGAGCAGGAGCAGGACAGGTGTGCCTCTCTCCACACTTCCCTTCCCACCCACCCCGCCCTCCTCCTCAGGCTCTGTGGCTACTAGGATCCCATCTTTTTCCTGCCTGCCTGACCTATTTCCTCCTACTTTTAGGAAGCAAGTCAGTGTTACTGGAGTCTAACCTATAAAGGGGTTGGTTCTGAAGCTGTAGAAAAATCTACACATCATCTCTAGTTGGCCCTCCAACAGCACCTCCCTCCTCAAAAGATGACATCTTGCCAGGCAATTATATCTCCCTAATGGGCATGACTCCTAGAAGCACAGGAGTCAGTAAGTTAGCGTCATCAGCTCACAGGACTCAGCACACAGCAGGCCTGGAGATCTGTGAGCACATGAAGACTCTAGGGTTACCAATTAGCCTATATTTCAGAGAGGCAAATTTGGAACTAATATCTAAGGGTTACAGAGCATGTTTGAGATGGACGGATGCAGGGAGATGAAGACTTACCATTCCCAGCATTCCAAAAGGGGAGACAGCCCCAGCCTACGGGAACATGCCAGGAATAGAAGTTAGAGGCCACATGCGACCTCACCCTCCCAAACCAAGCCCATGGCCTCCCTTGCTTTTTTCCATCCTCCTCTCAAAGGAGCATCACAAAGCCTGATTTCCACACCCCTTTCCCCACTCCTAGAAGGCATGCCACTTGCTAAGTCAGCCAGCATGCAAGAAAAATAAAGCACTGCATTAACCACCCTCCCACCTTTCCTTGAATCTCAGGTCTGTGGCGGCACCATTACCTGCATCCTGCGGCTGGCAGGCCGGGTCCCTGGCAGATTGCCATCTGTGATGCTGAGGAAGGGGCTATATCCAAAACCCCCTGACAACATCCGGTTCATGTGCTGACGGTGAATGGCAAAGGGGTCCCTGTGCAGGGAGAGTACAGAGCAGATGGCAGAAGGGGCAGCGGTCAGCACCTCCCCGCAGCCCCCCCCAAGAAAAGAGCCATAGGGAATCGGCAGCACAGACATCCCCTCCAAGTCTAAGCTGGAGCTTAAGAGTGGCCACCCAGGCGTGATCCAAGCCCGCAACGGGAGCCCAGGTGTCTGTCTCAACTACTCAGAAACTGAAGTGGACCGATGTGTGCTCTGGAGCAAGAGGGGGAGGGGATACTCACATCAGGAACATGGGGTCCTCGGGCTCCACGTCCCTCATGAAGCGGAACATCCTGATTTCAGCTCCAGGGAGCTCCACACTGTGAAGATATGGAGGCTTAAAGGTTGGAAGCGGCCAGGTTTTTTGCACACCCGCTCAGGGCAGGGACTCTCAGAGCGTGGTCCCTTCCAAACACTGTAACTGGCCCCCAAACTCCAGGGAGACCCTTCTCCAGGTGTTCAACATCAGCCTCTAGGGACAGCAGAGCTCTTCAACCCTCTCTCCGAAGGAGGACCGTGGAAAATTTTCCCGAGCCTGTTTTCTGCCTCCCCCACTCAGAGCCATCCTCTTCCCAAAGCCACGGCCAAAGGCACACTCCCCTAACCCCCGACGCCACCTTTCCGGATGCGAATCTCAAGTGCCGCCCCCCACCCCCGCCCCATAAATGACCCCAACCACTCCGCTCCCTTCTCACACCCCGGCCGTCGCCAGACCTCCCCCGGGTGGGCCTCATAGTCCCCGCCGCGCCTGGCGGCGCTCCCCACCCCGAACCCTGCTTTCCTGCCGGGTGAGCAGGAGAGGCAGGCTTGACCCGCTCCCCTCCCCGCATCCCAGGCTCCCGGGGACCCTGCAGCCCGGCGGGCCGCTCCCGCCCCGAACTGGCTGCCCGCTCCGCTCGAGCCTCACCGGTCCCCGGTCCGGGCTCAGCGGCCCATCCGGCCGGTCTCGCCTCTCGGTGCGCGGCAGGATCGGGGCTAGCGGCCCGGGACGCGGGACTGGTTCAGGCGTGAGCTCCTCGGCCTCCCGCACCGCCTCCTCTCACAGCTGCCACCTCCGTGCACCCGCCCCGCGCCGTCGGCCCACGGAGCCCGAACCCCAGCCAGGCCCGGGCGGAAGTGACGTCACGACGGGACGGCCCACCCCAGGCCGGACCTGCGGAGCTCCGCCCACCGGCGGGCGTGGGGCGCACGCGGGGCCGGCTCCCAGGCCTAGCTGCTGGGGTCGCTGGGTCCTCCGGGACTCGGGGAGCGGAGGCCTCGTTAGTAACCTGAATTTGGGTTTTGTGGCCCCGAGGAGGCTCCCTATCAGGGTGTGGGGGAAGGAGCAGCGGAGTCCATCGCCGGGAGGGGAAGAGGACGGGGGCAGGTTCCCCCGGGCAGGGCAGGCTCCCAGTGGGTGACGAGGTGGGGCGGATCCCTGGGAGAGCTTTCAGCAGATTTCTACCGGGGAAGCGTTCATGCCGAGCGGGAGGAAGGACGGCAGTTCTGCGGGGGAGGCGCTGGGGCCTGTCCCCTCGGGAGGAGGCGCGTTCCAGGCCGGGGCGGCGTCCTCGGAGTGACGTAGCGGGAGGAGGTGACAGTGCTGCCCAGGTCTTCCTCTGGCTTCGAGAACTCGGGCTGGGGCATGGAGGATCCAGGCTGGGGGTCCGGCCGCCAGATGGCGCCCTTCGGCCGGGCTGGAACTGCAGCCCCTGGGGATCTGGCATTGGCGGGGCTCTGGGGACCCCCGCCGCCCCCAGTTACCCTGCTGTGAGGAGTCTGACTGGGGAGAGAGTTCTGAAATCCTTTCATTGAATGCCAACCTTCCCTTTCTTTTCTCTGAGTATCCTCAGGAGCTCCCAGTCCACAATGATCTTTTTTGCCTCCAGTCAGTCAGGTTGGTAGGTAGGTCGAGGGAGAAGAGAACTCCCGGTTCACCAAACTCACCGAGGGGCCGAGTTGCGAACAGGCCCAGGAGACCTGACTCGAAGGTCAAAGGCTGACACTTTGACATACTAAATGTGTTGCATAAAATCCGGTTCAACTGGAGAGAAGGGCCCTGCCCCTGGGTGTCCAGGGATTTGGGCTGTCCAGGCTGGACTTTAGACCGGACTCATCCAGACGCCAGCTCGCCTGGTTCTTTACACTGGCCGCTAGCCATGTTAGTGCTCTGTGGGCCTGACAGCCAGAGAGACTTGTTCCCATCTCCAGCACTTCCCTGGAGAGGAAGAGGGGTTGGTCCCTGGTGACTCAGGAAAAGGTAGTTACGAGTGGGGCTTCTCAGGGTTCTTTGGACTTTATTATTAAAGAGAGGAAAAAACAAAAACAATAGTGGCAACAGAGGGGAACAGAGACAGAGAAATTAGAAGCTGGCAGACTGACAAAGCCAAAGAAAGAATAAAAGAAAATGTGTTTTTCCATTGATATTTCTGGGGAATAGACTTGGTAAAAGCTTTTGTCTTTCAAATGCTCTATCTCTTAACAGTCCACCATGCCAGTGCCCCTTTCCTCTTGCCTCCAAACAAAAGCAGTGTGACAAGTGGTTGAGAGTTATCCTGGTCAGAGTTCTGCAGCCCAAACTTAGTGAAGTGTGAGCCTCACCTTCCATCATCTCCGTCCCCGTTTCATTATGTCCAGCTTACCCAGAGTTGGATAGCAGATGCAGCTAGTCTTCTAGCCTTCTCCTTTGGTCTTCTTCCATTACCTGGTGTTCTCTGTTGTTGTTTAGTCACTAAGTCATTTCCGACTCTTTGCGACCCCATAGACTGTAGCCCTCCAGGATTCTCCGTCCATGGGATTTTTCAGGCAAGAGTACTGGAGTGGGTTACCATTTCCTCCTCCAGATCTTTCTGACCCAGGGATTGAATCTGTGTCTCCAGTGTCTTTTGTATTGTAGGCAGATTCTTTCCACTGAACCATTGGGGGAAGGTGCCTAGAGCTCTTTTTCTTCTTCCTTCCAAGACTTAAGAATCTGATATTGGGGACTTCACTAGCCATCCAATGGTTAAGACTCTGCTTTCACTGCAGTGGCCATGGGTTCCATCCCTGGTCAGGGAACTAAGGATCCAGTATGCCACAAGGCATAGCAAAAAAAAAGAAAAAACAGAAAACTCTGATATCAGTCAGTTTTACTTCTGCATGATTTTTAATCAATCACCTCCCCTAAGAATAACTACAAATGACAGTTTAGCATCCATCTATGACACAAAGGTCTAAACCTAGGCTTTCTCTCAGGTTAAAAAGAGAGCTTTGAAGAGGTGGGAATGAAGGAGGAGATGCAAGAGTTCATTCTCAGTATGCCCAGCAATGGACTATATAGGCAGCCATCCACTCCAGGAATTGAAGGAATGTAATTTTACAAGCATCCTTTCTCCAGACAGAGTTTGTATCTGTTTTCCTTCTCTGTCACCTTCCTATTCCTTCCCTTCCCTCCCCCACTCACTGCCTTCTCTTCCTTTCTTCCTTCTTTCCCTCCTTCCCTTCATCCCTCCTTCTTTCCTTTTTTTTTTCTTCTTTCCTTTCTTAAATATGTCTCTGTCCCGTAAACTCTGATGAACAGAAATTCCTCAGTCATCAGAGTTTCCTATAGATGATAAAATGTAGGAGGGAGGGTGTGCCTAGTCCCAGGTGAGACTGGATAAGCATTGTTGGGAGGAAGAGAAACAGTTTCTCCTCACTGCTTTATGTGATGAAGCCAAAGTTGGGACGTCCTTGAGAGGGGAAAGAAAGTGTTAGTTGCTCAGTCATGTCAGACTTATTGTGACCCCATGGGCTGTAGCCCACCAGGCTCCTCTGTCCATGGGATTCTCCAGGCACTAATAGTGAAATGGATTGCCATCTCCTTCTCCAGGGGATCTTCCCAACCCAAATCCAGGTCTCCCACATTGCAGATGGAATCTTTACCATCTGAGCCACTAGGGAAACTCAGAGGGGAGATCTAGGTCAGAAAAGTGCCCTTGTCAGATGTGAGGTTTGGCATCTGGAACAATCCCAGGGCAGCTGGCTTCTGGGGTGATGGTGGACTTAGGGGACACTGGATTCCAACTTGAGCTAACATGAATGGGTGTGACTGAGTGTATGTGTGTGTGTGTGTATTGGAGGAGGGAGATAAATCCTGACATTGAGCACTAAGTTGCCCCCAGGAAGAGAGAGTGAGTTGTATAGTGGACACCAGATCAGAATGAGATTGAAAAATGGCTTAGGAACAGTATTTTAAGTCTAGCTTTTCAGCTTGTTTTATATCCATGTCCACTCAACAAATATTTATTGAATACCTACTGTGTGAGGCTTCCCAGGTGGCGATAGTGGTAAAGAACCCGCCTCCCAATGCAGGCAACATAAGAGACGTGGGTTTGATCCCTCAGTTTGCAAGATTCCTTGGAGGAGGGCATAGCAACCCAATTCAGTATTCTTGCCTGGAGAATCCCAGGGACAGAGGAGCCTCACAGGATACAGTCCATGGGGTCACAAAAAGTTGGACACAACTGAACGACTAACACTTTCGTTTTTTACTTTCCAGTAGTTAGAATTCAGTGCTTTTGCTACTGTGGTCCCAGGTTCAATCCCTCGTCAGAGAACTAAGATTCCCTACAAGCCATGAGGCACAGCCAAAAATAAATAAAATAAAAACAAACAAAATTTTTAAATGACTCCAGGTTTTTGTTTTTAATCTGGGCAATCTGAATGAGAAATAAATGACCATTCTGTATCAGGACAGGCTTGAGAACATATGGAAATTACATCTAGCTGAAATTCTGATCCTGACCACGTGGCTACACAGGGTAACTGAGTGGAGAGTCTTCTCTTTATTATTATTTTTTTAAACTATGTATTTTATTTTACAGCCACGGCACATGGCATCTTAGTTCCCTGATGAGGGATCAAACCTACGCCCCCCTGCTTTGGAAACGCAATCTTAACCACTGGACCACTAGGGAAGTCCCACAGTCTTCTCTTTAGATTGAGCCACCTGAAGCAGGAGGAGGGCAACAGGAATACAGGAATCCTGAGGCTAGTTCAACTATCAGATATGAGATGTTGGATCATCTTGGGTAGATATGCTAATATTAATGGTTGGCATGAGCACTGGAGTTTTAAGTCTTAAGAATTTCCTGTTGTCCCTTGATCATTTCAAGGAGCCATCCCTAAGGAGGCCATGTATCTCATGACTAACATGGGCTTTAAGGATTGAAGTTTGTGCTACCTGTGTGGTGAAAAGTGAAAGTGAAAGTCACTCAGTTGTGTCCGACTCTTTGCGACCGCATGGATAATCCATGGGATTCTCCAGGCCAGAATACTGGAGTTGGTAGCCTT